ACCCCGAGCAAGCCAATGTCTTCAAACATTCGTGTGTTTATGTCTCAATTAATGCAGTTTCATTTCTGCCCCAAGTGTTTGCAGCCTTCTCTCCCCTTTAGAGGAGCATTAATTCTGCCACCCCCCAAGTCCTGAGTCTGGGCTCCCTGAGCCCCATTTCCACTGTTCAGAAATGTCCCATGCTAAATTCCTTAATTCCTTCATTCCATTATTTGTGGGGTTGTTTCAGGCTCCACAAGGCTGAGGCCACTTCATCCCCAGGCAGGGAGCACCTCCATCCCCTCATGAAGTCACCATGAAATTCCACTCAATCAAGGCCATGTTTTCAATTAAAATTGGCCTTGGAATATTCACAGGCTGCTCCCGGTGCAATTCCTTGCCCCCAGCTCGGTGTGGATGTGTTTGCTCCGTCCTGATGGTGAATTCCCATCAACTTTCTGCCAGGGAAAAATCCCAGAGGCTCCTCAGTGGGGATCACACCCACCACCCTCAGGCCTCTGCTGCACTTTTAATTACAGCACTCAGGATCCTTCCTTCAAATCCTAAACCCGAGGAGAGAGGAGCTTGCATTTGCACAGCATCCATGAAATTCCCTGCTCCAGTGACACCCATGTGCTGCTGTTTCTCTCCCAAGGCAGAGATTCCCTCTCTTTCCTTTTTCCATGGAAGATGAGTCTGCCCAAAGTCACAATCACTTTAAAAGCAGCTGTGTTTTGTGCCCACACTGAATTGTAAGGATCATTTTCCATCAGCAGCTGTGCTTGTAAATGGAAAATTCAGGTTAGTTTTGCCTGGGATACACTGCAGTTTGAACACTGGTTTAATGTAATTATACCCAATTTGGGTCTTTATTTCTAGGTGTAAGCAGATCCCATTTCCAGCAGAACTTTGGGATGAGGGGTTTGACACAAATCAGCTGCTGAAGCCTGGCCTAAAACAATCCTGAGAGGGGCTTACACAGACACCTCCCCCACTTAGGCTGAGCCTAAACCCCACCAGCATTCCCAGATTCCTTTGGCTTCTCTCCCTGTGCAAGGGGACATTTTCCATCAGGATTCCAAATCAATGCCCACACAACCACGTCACTGTCCATGGAAAATTCCCTTCAGGCACTGCTGGCCCCATGGGATCCCTCAGGGAGAGAAGGAAAGGATGGGATAAAAACTTGGGATGTTTTGTGAGAGGGAAAACAAGACAGGAGCTAAAATCCCCCTGAATTTCAGGCACCTGGAGAATGTACCACTCCACACTTCTCATCTGTTATCAGCACCTAAAAACCACTTTAAATACCTGATCATTGAAGGAATTGAAAGGATTAACAGGAAATTAATTAATGAATGACCCTCTCTGTGTCTTTCTGAAAGCAGCTGCTCCACATTGTTTTTAAAAGGCACCAAGTTGAACATTCTCCAACTGCTTTTTAATAAATGTAAATAATATTCCAAAGCAGGGACGAAATGCCAGCAGTTGAGGGGTGGCTGAGCCATCCACGGCATGTAAATGAATTCCCTGCCTGGATATCAGGATGTGGATGTGCAGCCTTCAGGAATTAAATGAGCCCAACTTGCACAGCTTGTAAAGAGCTTCCCAGAGCTCCCAAAAATCCCTTTTATTATTTATGTGGGACGAACAGAGGAGCAGCAAGGGGGGAGAGTTGCAGGTGACACCAGGAGTCAGTGAAACCTGACAGAAAATGCTGCATTTTGGTGAAATCGAGGGCAAATAAATTAATCATGAACAAGGGAAATGCAACAAAAACACTGGAGGATGTAATTGGATTTACACACAAAAAGGAATGGCAGCATTCCTGCAACTGGGAGAGCAGATCCAGCTTCCTTCAGCAGGAATCATGGAATTATTAAAGCTGGGAAAGGCCTCAAGGCTATTCCTAAATCCAACAGAACTGCCTGGAAATCATCTCCCATTCCCAAGGGATGGGAGCTCCTCTCTCCCTTGCTCCCAACAGCTCAGCCTGGATCATCCAGGGATCATCACTCACTGGCCCAGCTCAGGGTCAGAGGGGTTCCCAAATTCCCACTTTTCCCCAGTTTTCCTGTTTCCACTCTGGGACCAGCTCTGCTTCCACTCCCTTGGCATCCCTTTAGATGAGGGATTGTCCCAGTTCAATCTCCAGGTGTCCCAGAGAAAAGGGAGAGCTGAGAATTCCTTTTCCTCATGGAGATTTTCCCAGCTCCTGTTTTTCCCTCAAAACCCCTCTTCACACCCTTCAAAGGCTCCTACCTTGCTAAATGGGAATTTCCCCATTGTCCTGCTTAAAACCTGGGATGAGCAGAGCTGCCCAAACTCCAGCTGAACCCTGGATTAAGATCCTTGTTTCGGGAGACATTTCCATGTTTTCTCAGGGTGATTTTACTCTCTGTATTTACACCCTGTATTTACACCCTGTAGTTACTCATCCAACCTGTTGTAGAGGATGAGCAGAGCTGCCCAAACTCCAGCTGAACCCTGGATTAAGATCCTCGTTTCAGGAGACATTTCCAAGTTTTCTCAGGGTGATTTTACTCTCTGTATTTACACCCTGTATTTACACCCTGTAGTTACTCATCCAACCTGTTGCAGAGGAGTGAGTTGGAAGTGAGGTCCCAGCCCCTGTTCTCAGGGGACAGCACAGAAATCTGGGACAACACCTGGAGGATTCTCCTGCCCACCTGAACCCAGGATGCTGCAATCAGGATTCCCAGCTGTAGAAAATACAGAATATTGGCTTTGCTGTGTTTTCCCAGCTGCAATCAGGGCACAGAAAACAGGAAAATTTCCCCTTCAGAGAGCTCATCCCAGTCAGTCTGTCTTTTATTCCTGCGTTTTCTTTGGCATCCAGGGAAATTGCTGGAAGTACAAACATTCCCTGGCATTTGATCTCTTCCCTGTATTTCAGGTCTGGAGGAGCTTTTGCACACAAAGCCAGGCTTTGGCCCCGGGGCACACAAAGCGTCTCCCTGGTTTTATTTGGATTCCAGGAATCCCCAAATTGCCACAGCAGGAGCCTGCAGGAGCCTCATGACAGAAAAATCTGAGTTTTAAGAGATTTAAAGCAGGGAAAGGACTCCAATTGTGTCTGTGCCTTGGAATACTCAGGGAAAGAAGGGAACAAAAATATTAGACACAATTCCAGAGGTTAGACAGTGCTGCGCTGGGAACATGAAGTAAATCCCAGCACCTACAGCTCAGGGAAATTCTTATGGATTTATTTTATTTATAGACCCCTCCAGAGCTTCTCCGGCCTTTTGGGAAGCTGAAAAACTTGAACCAGCAAAGGGAATCCGAATAAATTCAGCTCCAGGTAAGTGAGATATCCCTAATGCAGCCTTTTCATCCCTGTGCAATTTAACAAATGAGTTTCCAGTGTCTGGCAAGTTGTCTGGGAAAACAGAGGAGCTGGGATTAATTCCATCTCGGGAGAAATGAGAATTCAATATTTGCTGATTTCCAGCCACCCACTCTGGAGCTGGGAGCTGTGAAGGATCCATCAATCCCAACGTGTTCAGCCTCCTCCTCCCATGAGGAATGGGATGTGCAGGATGGATCCTCACCTGAGGGTCAGCTCCCTGCCCTTGGAATTCCTGAGGAACCAGCCCCAGCTCCCTGCCTTGCCTCCCAGTGTCTCTCCCTGCTTTATTTCCACCCTCTGGTGTTTGTATCACTCCCATCCATCACATCCCGATGGATAGCCTTGGAATGAGGCTTGGAAAAGCCTCGTGGGATGTCTGTGCCCTGGGAATGAGGTTTGGGGAAGCCTTGTGGGAATGAGGTTTGGGAAAGCCT